AGGAATGTGGCCATACTCCTACCTCAGTCAGTTGGGATGGCAGCCTATTCTCCAAATTCAGCCTGTACCCAAAGGATCATGACACACCACTGCTTGGTACACAGGCACTACACGGCTCAGAAGCATTAAGATTGGTAAGAGAAGTTGGTTCTGAGAGCAATAAAATAAATGTACGTGGCACAAAACAGTGACTGGCACACATAGCCCTGTTTGCCAATTTCTGCTTGATATATTGTTCTTAACCAAGCATGCATTCTCAAAATCTCTTTATTTCATTCCCTTTCTTGTCTGGAAAACTATGCAAGGCTTTTCATTAATTCTAAAAGCTTAAACACGTATTTGGAAACACTATATGCCAGAAAATGGCACTGAACTATCTGCAGAGCAGCCAAGCTCTAAACAGCTAGTTGTAATGAGATTTGCACTGGAGAACGGGCACAGGAACAGCCTTGCAGGAAGAACATCCCGAAATGAAGACAAGGACAATGGGGGCAGGGGAGAACGGAAAAGTCAGACAAATAACACCACCTTTAAGGCCAAGGAGGGGCAGGGAAGGTTGGAAGATGCATAAAATTCTTTTAGCAGAGATGACCGAACCTTAACACAACAGGCCTTGCACAGGTAGAATAAAATCAGTGGATTATTTGTTAGTATGAACTTCGAGGACTCTTATCCTTTCACATGGTAAAGCCCAAACTTCAAAGGAAGTTTCCATAACTCATCATAAAACAAACATTACCATAAAACTGCAGTGATAGTCAGCTCTATCACCTTTTACAGGGATTAAACAAAACCAAGCTTGGTCAGTTTCCTACTAGCAAGCAATTTTTTTCTGAAATCGTAACTAAAGGTCCAGCAATATATGTTCCTTACAGGCAAAAGTTTTTGTGGTTACCGTTCTAAATGGTGCACAATTCCCAACAGCCTCAGAAAACAAACCCAAAGATAATTCATGGGATTATGGTTTGCTCAGGTTCTCTTCAGAGCAGCGAGGGAAAAGGGAGGACAAAGTGGAAAAGGACACAATAATCTGTGCATTCTAAACTGTATAAAGCTTAAAAAAGCTCATGTCTTGAGCCTGAAAAAGCTAACCCCTCCTCCACTTTCCTCCATTTTTACCTTACTTAGCAAATTACCTCTGGTTTTCCTTAGTTTCACTTGGAAAAACCCCAGAGGATGTGTCTCAACTGGGGATGGGGCAGTAGGACAATACTGACAATCTCTCACACCATTTCCCAATGGTTTAAGACATTGTTCAAGGAAAAAGCTCTAAAAAAAAAAAAAAAAAAAGATACCAGCAGCCCAGTTGAAAAATCCCCCTCCCGGCTACTGATTTTGCATTCTTTGCAAATAATACCAACCCTTCACAGCCTTCGGTTTTCAGTTGCTCACTCCCAGCACAATTTTAATTCTTCTAATTTCAAAGAAAACAAACAAACAAGACAAGGGGAAAGGATAGGCAGAAGGAAAAGGAAAAACAAACAAGCCGGTCAAACCATTTCTAAGAATCTGTACTCAATAAGGTGTAAAATTTTTATTTTAAAATGAATAAAGAGCTCCCAAAGTTTAAATAAAAACTTTAATATTTGGTTTTATACGTTCTTAAAGCAGAAATAAAAAAGAAAAAATCACATGTAAGACCAACAATAACTATACATACACAACAGGTTTGTAGCACAACTATTTGACTGCTCTGTGAAAAGGCTGACAAGTGATCACAAGTTAATGACTAAGGTTGCCTGCAGGTTCAAAACTATTAGCAATGAGTAACATTGACATGACAAAAAAAAGTCCCTTTGTTACAAACATTCTTTACTGCTAATAAAAGATTTTTTTAAAAATTGACCTTTTTTGGTTTGATTTTTTTTTTAAAATACACAGCTTTTAATCTCGTTTATGTACAGAGTTGGCTACTCTTTC